GAAAAACCGAAAATCTGACCCTTTGAAAATTTAAAAAAAAAAACTTTTTCAGTTTTCACTTTTTTCACATACTTTTGAGAGTTCTGAATAGCCCGTCGCTCAAATAGTTGGAATCAACGCTCACCCAGCTAAAAAATTCGATTTTGGCGAAAGTCGACTTTCCCTCTGGAAAAACAGAAAATCTGACTCTTTGGCTCGGGGTGAAAAAAAAATTTTCATTTCGACTTTTGTCGCGACTTTGGGGGTTTCATTGGCATCAGAATTGTTAGAAAATACAGAATCAACTTTCACTTAGCGAAAAAATTCAATTTTGGCGAAAATCGACTTTCACCGTTCACCCACGTGAAAAAGAAAAAAAAATTTTCCCCTTTTCTCTCACCTCCGAGGGTTTCATTGGCATCAGGGGGTCAATAAATACAGAATCAACGTTCACTACTTTTTATTTAAACACCGCCTGCAAACGGGGAGGTGAGGGTGGCTAAAATATATTCTGCAACCCTGTCTCCTCGTTGGCTACAAATTTCAACCCTCCGCATACATGCCTTCCCCTTCAACCGCTCGTAAAATCACGCGTTCTCGGTAGCATCGAGATGGACTTCTCAAGACCGAAAAGAACTGAGGATTCGAAAGGTCTCTGGAAAAGTACGTCGCAGAACTGATTAGGACTTACCAGGTCCATCTAGGTCTGGAGAGATCTTGAAAGACGTCCAATCAGAACCAAATCCTCGACTCGGGAGTCCATTTGGATTTTTACAATATAGAGAGATATTGAGACCCTTATTTTGACCCTTGCGACCCTTACTTTCTTACCGCCATGACCCTTATTTGAACATTTGGATCCTCTTCATCTTGAAAATTCAAGAAAATTTGATTTTTTATATTAAAAAACCATTGATTTTTCGATGAAAGCTTGAATTTTCAATAGATGGAAAATTCAGAGAAGTTATTGCCTGAATTTTCAACATTATCAAGGTTTTTCAGTGCCGTATAGATCTGAAAATAGAGAATTACTTGAATATTCAAGAAATTAACTGATTTGTCAATGAAGAATTCTCCAGAAATTTCATGTTACTTTATCGTTGTTAAAAATCTCAAGTTTTTCCACTTGAAATTTCAAGTGTAATTTTCTAACAGTGTAATCATTGTGATTCTATTGCAGTGGCTCGGGAATAATAATTTACTATTTTAATGTGATAGGGGGTTTATTGATATCTTTATTCTATTGAAATTGTATTGCATGGACGCGCGTCCTCAAAAATGCATTAGAATGTGTAAAAATCATTACTGTTATTCACTACTGCATTCCTCTCTCACAAAAAATAAATGTGTTAATAACGTATTGATCTCTCCATCACCATGATCCAAACGGAAATTATGTGTTGTCAATAAACTGAAATGTCCTCCCCTCAAGCGTCGAAAGTATCGTAACATAATTAAATGAAAGATCCTGGAGACATGGATAAAAACCCATCAGTGTCTCCAATACAAAGCCATCAGGTTCCGAAGCAATTTTCTGTGAATGGGAGCACATATTGACTTGCTTGGAAATATCCACACTTGTTGCAGAATAATACTCGATGCAATTTACTCTCCGTCAGATGATAAAGTTGATTGATGATTCCATCAATTCAGTAGCGAAGTGGTAAACCGGTTTAAGTCGACTCATCTCCGAGTTGGGTTTTTGAGGAATATTTCCGAATCTAAGGGAGATAGCGAAATTTTCATAACTACATTTGTTGTAGCTCTTAATCGGCTCTACAAAAAAGGTTATAATAAAAATCTCGCTATCTCCCTTAGATTCGGAGATATTCCTCGAAAACTCAGCGAAGGGCTAAGTCGACTTAACCCTTCGCTGAGTTTTCGAGGAATATCTCCAAATTCAAGAGAAATAGCGAAATTTTCATTATTATTTTTTTTGTAGAGCGAAGTGAGAGCTACAAAAAAGGTTATTATAAAAAATTTCTATGTTCCTTAGGTTCCGAGATATTCATTATAAACTGACCAATAGTCTAAATCGACTTAAACCGGTTTACCGCTTCGCTACTGAATTGTACCTACAATATCCAAGACTGTCAAAAATTTGATGTTTGAAACTGTCAGGGCATTCCTCGACTTTTTTTCACTGGCTGTGCGTCAGACGACAATCTTCCACCCCCTTTCACTCAGCTGGGGGTGGTCGCAAGGGTTGTGCAACCAGTCGAGCGCTGGACGTTCAACAGGCAACGTGAAATCCTGAAATTCTCCCTCCGAAAAATAAAGTTAGAAAGAAAATATTCTTAAATTCTTAGTGCAGCAATCAACTCCTGATAAATCACCTGAATAATTATCGTAAGGCTGGATGTTATTGCAACTGACTTTAATCAACAGAATTTATTAAACCTCAATCTTCAGTGAGACAATAATTCATTAGTAGTAAATTCACTAAATAACTTCCTGGAGACTGAATTTTGTGGGAGTCAACCAACTTTGTCAAGAAAATTTATCCACCAGACAGGAATGAAATCCCAAATAAAAAGATCATTCGATTCTCAGTGAAAGAGTAGTTAATTACTGGTAACACACTTAAATAATCAACACCAAGGCTGGGATCTGTGGTTTTCAACGCACTTTAATCAAGAAAGTTTGTTCAACAGATGTGAAATCCTCGTGGATTCTAACTAATTAAATCTCATTATCCTGGAGTTGAATAAAGTTTTCGTTGTGTTCGACTGCAAGAGGTACAATGTCCACTGGAAGTATCTTATTAAATAATTTGAGTTGATTTTTAAGACCACATGAACAAGTTAATGCTCATTTCGTGGGGTTTTCGAATAATTAAAATGCTGATCGAGATCTTCTGATTCATTAAAAAAAAGTTACGAATTAATTGGGTAGCAATTTGGTTCATTCTCAAGGTACCATAAACCTCGGATTCAATCATGGATAAATTGCATGATTATCAAGGAATTACGGGCCGAATGCATGGTGTGCGTGATAAAATCAGTGAAAAGTGGAGTGAGTTTAAAGAGTGGAAGAATGAAATACCAACGAATCAGGGAATTGGGGGCGTTGTTGCGCATTTTCGTAAGCCACCGAAATTGGAGAGAAGTCTGGAGGATTACTCCCATGTTTACAGGTATTCACATGCATCAGAAATTTTACATCTTCATTTTTCATTTTTTTGTATTTTTCTCACAGATGTCACAATTTTTTGTACCTCTTTTTTAGTAAAAGATATGACTTAGAAAGTCCACTGTTCGAAATTTTGTGAAATTTCATGGAAAATAAAATAGTAAATCTCATGAGAGTGACATTGAATTGGATTTATGGGAAAAATGGTCATGAAATTTCAAGTTTTAGGTAGAATTCAAGGAAATTCATGAGTTTTCAGTGTGAAAGTGATGGAACTTTCATAACTTGATGAATTTTTCAATGAAACATGAATATTCAGAAACAGGTCACGTATGAAAAAATGCTATAGGATTTTTCTGATAGGATTTCCTATCGGATTTCCCACAGGATTTCCTATAGGATTCCCTATAGAGTTTCCTATCAGATTTATGACCCTAATCCTGACCCTTGTGATCGATTGGTTTCGAGCCTCAATTTTGTGTGTTACTTTCTATAGTGAATTCTATAGGAAATCCTATAGAAAATCCTATAGCAAATCCTATAGGAAATCCTACAGGAAATGTTCGAATTCTCCATAGAATTTCCTTTAAGAAATCCTATAGGATATCCTATAGGATTTTTTCATACATGGAATGACATGAATTTTCAATTTTTCCATGAAATTTCCTGGTTTTTCTGAATTTTCACGGAATAATTTAACTGGAAATACAAGTATTTTATTGATTTTCAGATCATTCAAACAGAAAACTAATAAAATCTTTAATTTTTTAATGACAATATTTCCTGAAATTTAAGTGGAAATAAAGCACGATAAAAATTTTCAGGATTTGGCACGGAAAATTCATACGAAAATGTTTAACAGTGTATTCAATAGAAAAGAAATGACGATATTTCCATTTTCCTGTGAAACTGGCTGTGTTGTGATGGATTCTGGAAATGATTCATAAAAATCTCATTAAACAACCCGAGATGAAAAAATTTGAGAAATCTAAACCCAAGAATCTCTGTGGGAACAATCTCAACAGAATAATTTCCGAGATCCTTGGATTTGAAGATATAACATATTGACTAATGAACATTTCATGGAATATTTTATTCCTCTCGTAAATGGTGGTTTTTTCCATGTGTTCCTTCATAAGTAACTTACATAAAGTTCCGATAGGAATATATCTTACGAGAAATAAATACAACTTATTCCTATCAGAATTTGTTCACACTTGAAATTCCTCAAAATGACTTTTCCTATTTTTTGTCCATTCACTGTTCGAAAATTACTCTTGAAATTTCAAGTGAAAAAGCTTGAAATTTTTACGACGACAAAGTTTCATGAAATTTCTGCATATTTTTTCATTGATAAATCAGTTAATTTCGTGAATATGCAAGTAATTCTCGATTTTCAGGTCCATACGGCACTGAAAAACCTTGAAAATTTAAAAAATTCAGGCAATAACTTTTCTGAATTCTCAAACTATTGAAATAGTATATTGTGTTACAAGTGCGTAAAGAACCACTTTTTCGCACGCACGCGTAACACATCCTATTTCTTGTAATACTTGCCGAGTTCACTGTTCGGAACCGTAGTGGGGGTAAAGTGGTTGCTTTTGTGCACGGTGTGCGTAAAGTTCAAGTAATTCAATTGAAATCGGTCACTAAATTTCTCATTTATCTTGAAAATTTAAGAAAATCATGTTTTTCATATTAAAAAATCATTGATTTTTCAATGAAAGCTTGAATTTCCAAATTCATTGTGAAAATTCAATATCACATACAATTCAATTTTTGTAATACCTGCCTCAAAAGTTGACTTTTCGAAACCGTTTAGTGTGTGTAAAGTGGTTGTTTTACGCACAATGTGCGTAAAACAACCACTTTACACACTCTAAACGGTTTCGAAAAGTGAACTTTTGAGGCAGGTATTACAAAAATTGAATTGTATGTGATATTGAATTTTCACAATGAGTTNACGCAATTCTCCTGCGTAAAACTTCGCTTTACACACTCGAAATTCACTTTACGCACGACCTCTGAACTTTACGCACATTGTGCGTAAAACAACCACTTTACACACTCTAAACGGTTTCGAAAAGTGAACTTTTGAGGCAGGTATTACAAAAATTGAATTGTATGTGATATTGAATTTTCACAATGAGTTTGGAAATTCAAGCTTTCATTGAAAAATCAATGATTTTTTAATATGAAAAACACGATTTTCTTGAATTTTCAAGATAAATGAGAAATTTAGTGACCGCTTTCAATTGAATTTGAATTCAACTTCAGAACATCGAAAATTCAGATGACGCTGTGACTGAAATTTCACGAAACTTCTAACAGTGTTGTCTTTGTTACTGTTATCAGTCTGATAATTTCCCTGCAGCCGGGGAAATTATCAATGTGAAACGCGTCACGTGACCCCGAATACTGCACTCTAATTGGTCAAAATCAGAATTGAGGAAATTGGCTATGTAAATTTCCTCTACTTACTTACTATAAAACAGAATATTTTCTATGTAGAAAACGCGCAGAAAACAGCGGATTTTTTCAATAGAATCTTTGAAAAACTAATAGAACTTTTAATAAAAGTGCAATAGAAATCCAACCGAATTTCCCGGGGAACTCGCCACGTTTGTCTATAAACTTTTTTCGTGCTGTTATTTATTTATTATTTGGTTTTTCCCAACGAATTCCGAGGAAATGATTTTCGAAAATGAGTGCCCAAGAATCCCCTTAGAAAGACGCACAAAATAAGTCGTCTAGAAAAATTAACGTTTACAAAACTATTTAGAGAAAACGTTAGATTTCCTCTATTACATTTTCCAATCTGGCACTATAAATAATCATTTCAAGGCAAAAGACACGGGGAGAACTGGTGAGGATATCAGCAGCAGTGATGGGGATTGAATTTTCTTATGCCGCTGAAACAGCATTTGTCTCGCCTACTCTATTAAAAATCGGTGTTGATCATCAGCATATGACTCTGGTATGGGCTCTCAGTCCCCTTGTGGGATTCTTCGTCACACCGATCCTCGGCAGTGTCAGTGACCGATGCAGATATAAATTCGGGAGGAGAAGACCTTTCATTCTACTATTATCCATTGGCGTTTTTCTTGGTAATTTTGGAAGAAGAAAAAATTTTTAAAATAGTTTGTCATGGGAGAGTGGAAGAAAAGTTTCATTTGCTTTACTTTTGCGGGTGCCATTTTTTTGCAATCAATTATAATGCACATTAAAATTTATTCACTCAATGGCTGACTTTTTTTAACAAAATAAAACTAGAAAATTAGTGTAGATAATAATCTCAAAAAATGGAAGATTTCTCGAAATAATTCCAAAATATATTTTTTGCAGTTGAAAGAATTCCCAGCAGAAAAAATTTGTTTGAATTTCCTTCTTTTATTTTGATCAGATGAAATTTATATAGCGAAGAAACCAAGAGAAAATGTTTTGAAAGAGGAAAAAAACCTGAGAAAAATAAAAATTTTCACACATTATGAGAAATTTTCCACCAAAATCTATTATAATTGGAGTGAAATTAAGACATATTTTCTGGTATTTTAGCAATGAATCTTGAATTGATGATTTTTCCTGTTCTAAAATTAATTCAGTGCCTAGCGAAGCGACAAGGATGGCCATCGATCTTCCGATTCTTCAATATTGATAGAATTTCCGACGTACATCGATCAAGGTTTAAATAGACCAATCGAAATTTAAAAATACTCAAATAATTGATAATCTAAATTTCCAATTGATGGCGAATTAAATATTTAATAAAATGAATCTGTAAATTTTCTCTTAAGTAAATAACCCAAAATTTCTTATACGGGATTTCCGCTTATCCAAATAATCGTCAATATTCCTAACTGAATTACTGGTTAATAAATAATTCGGGATTTGAATATTTAAATTGATGATTACTTCAATAATTAGAATTTAAGAGTGATATTAACTAATTGACGGTTTCCGCACAAAATTCTTTGGGAAAAAATTCCTTCGGAAAAAATTCCTCCGGAAAAGATTCCTTCGGAAATAATTTTTTCATGCAATATTTCATCCTGTAAAAATGCCTCATGCAATAATTCTTTCCCAGAACTATGGGATAAACTTGTTTTGGACAGCATAATCTCTCCGAAAATCCCATAGTTAAGTAAAAAATATTTAACCAATATAAAAAAAAATATTTCCATATTTCCATATTTTTTTTTCTCAAATTTTTTTTCCAAAGTAATTATTTGCCAAGTAATTTTTTCCAAAATAATTAGTTCTGAAGGAATTTTTCCAAGATATTTTTTCCAAAGGAATTTTAGTACCACTTTAAGTAACTAGTTTCTTATTCTCAATACAATGCCCGCTAGAACCGTGACTTTCTTAAAATCAGTAACTTAGTTTTTGAAACTAGAAACTTTTCTTTCTCTGCGAATCTGAATTAAATTTTCTGAATTTTTTCGTTCCACTAAATTGATGATATCGATCGTTGATGCGATCTCAGGATTGCTATTGGTACCCAATGGAGAGGATATGGGCTACGCTTTTGGTGACCCCAGACCACTGCCAAATCACACAGCTCCTCTGGGCCATCGAGTCACTGCTAAAGTTGCCAATGAAACTGCCCCCGCAGTCCCAACGTCATCCCACTGCTGGGGAATATTCTTCACGATTTTAGGAACCGTTTTACTGGATTTCGATGCTGACGCATGTCAAAGTCCAGCCAGGGCTTATCTTCTAGATGTAACGATACCAGGTAAGCCATGCAATGATAAAGCGTGAAAATAGGGAACTTCAATTTAGTTATAGAATGGTGGCACAACAGAATTATCTTGATAGAGAACGATTTTATGAAAAATCTCTTGATATTGTCTCCTGGAATCACAGAATTTTCAGATTAACTATTCTATTGGCTTTTTATTCATGGAACTAATTAACTATTACTTGATGAATACGCAAGCACATTTATAATAATTTAATTTTCAGCATGATTGCAGATATGACAAAATTTCATAGAAAAACCTAGCGAATTCACTAGACGATTCTATTGAAATGTTCAATAGGAAATAATCTAGAGAAAAAGTTAACAGAATTCGATTTTTCTATACAACTGATTCTGTTGAGATATTGTCGATGGAATTCCCTCGAATTTCTTGATGATTTTATCGAGTTTCTTGTTGGATTTTCTTGAGGAAAAGAAAATAGAATGAAACAAACTTGAAAATTTTGAGACGAAGAAATTTTATGGAAAATATCTTCTATATAGATTAAGTTTTTTATTCTTATAGAATAAGTTCTGTAAAAAAATCGAATTCTATTGACTTTTTCTATACAATATTTCCTTTTGAAGATTTTGTGGGACAAAGAATGAATGAAAAAAATTCGTTTGTTCGATTCATGGGGAGTATTCTCACATGGTATTGAATATGGAATCGCCTCACAAGCAGTGATTTGAAGGGATGTCAGGGGATATTATTGTAGAAAATTCAATTTCTCCTGAAATTTAATTTAACACACAGAAAACTTTCATAGAAAAACCTAGCGAATTCGCTTGAAAATTCTCTTGATATCTATTTAAAAATTCCGCAGTTTTACTGCGCGTTTTTTAATAGACTCTGTTCAATAGAAACCATTCAGTAGAGAAAAGCAATCGAAATTTTTGTCTATTCAGACATTTCCTATAGTAATTCCTCGGCCTTAATTTTTCAAGTTTTTTTAAAATTCTTTTTTCATAAATTCGATTTCTATCCTCGTCTTTCGATAGTATAAATATAATAAATGATACAAATTAAGAATTGGAGACTAAAACTTTTATGCGATTATTATTATGTAATAATGTGAAATCGTTACGATTCATAATTTTGCTGCTGTACAATTGATTTTTGGTCGAGGATTGACTGATTTTTTTTTCATGAACAGAGGATCATGCCAGAGGTCTCAGTACATTCACCATAATGGCTGGTCTCGGTGGATTTATGGGATACGGTTTAGGAGGAATAAATTGGGATGCCACGAGTATTGGTGTTGCACTCGGTGGACATCTGCATGCAACATTCACGCTTATCACTATTATCTTCATTATTTGCGTTTCTTACACAGTCACCAGCTTCAAGGAAATTCCTCTTTATCTTCTGGAGCGGGATGAGTATCAGAATATTCAACGAACGCAACAGGTTCAGATATTATTCTCGAATTAATATGGGCAAAATTGACTTGCTTTAATCGTGTAGAACTCGAGAACTCATTTTGGAATGAATTTGTTTGCTTTTGGATCGTTGAGTCAAGTCCATTTTACCTTGAGGCCTCCTGATGAATAGCCACTCATTAGAATAAGTTGTGTAAAAAATTGAATTCTATTAATTTTTTCTATAGAATATTTTCTATTGAACGATTCATAGAATCGGCCAAAAGCTAATAGAATGTTCAATAGAAATCCAATAGAATTGTCCAGCGAATTCGCTCGGTTTTTCTATTAATTTTTTTCGTGCGTCTGGACTGATGAAATGATCACAACTATTATTCCAGCGCATTTTACCCCATGTGTTCTCATTTCGCAGGAGGCGAAACCAGACAATGAATACGAGAAAATAACGGGCGAAGAATGCACATCCTATGGAGCAGTTGCAACGGAAATTGCTGAAAGACATGACGTAAAAGATCACGAAAAACTAAAAGTTTTTTTTTCTCCCCAGAAATTGAATTTAAACTGAAATTCAGTAGCGAAGTGGTAAACCGGTTTAAGTAAACCTATCTCCCAGTTGAGTTTTTGAGGAATATTTCCGAATCTAACGGAGATAGCGAACTTTTCGTAATTACATTTGTTATAGCTCTCAATCGGCTCTACAAAAAAGGTCATAACAAAAATTTTGCCATCTCCCTTAGATTCCGAGATATTTATTAAAAACTAGTCAGTAGTAAAAATTGACTTATACCGCTTTACCACTTCGCTACTGAATTAATTTTTCATTTTGCATTTTCCTTTCTTTTATAAATTATCATTATCATTGCAGGATTTGATACTGAAGCCACTTCCGGTAGATACAAAGAGACACGGATCAGTGCCAATGATCCCCGAGATCTCCTCACCAGGCAGCTACGATAATGACATACAAGAGAGCCAGAATATTGAAACAAGAGTAACACTGAGTGAATACCTGATGTCAATAGTCTACATGCCTCACAGTGTACGCATGGTTTGTCTGACCAATCTCTTCTGTTGGATGGCACACGTGTGCTACTCCCTCTACTTCACTGATTTCGTAGGCGAAGCGGTTTACGGGGGTAATCCACAGGTAAATACTCATCTGGTATACAACATTTTATTGATGGTAATTGTGGTGATTACCTCGTCAGGCGCCGGAGGGATCAGTGGAACGAGAGCTCTATGAGTCGGGCGTGCGATTCGGATGCTGGGGAATGTCGATGTATTCACTATCATGCGCCTGTTATTCTTTGATCATCGAAAAATTGATAGAACTGTATAAGTCAGTAAAAATTTGAATTTCATTATTTTACAATTGCTCTGCACCACAAAATTTTATAGAAAAAACTGCATTCGCTTGAAAATTCTATGGATTTTCTGTTGCAGATTCTATTGGTTTACACATTATGATGTTTTCTGCACTTTTTTTTCAGTAGATAATGTTCAATAGAAACTATTTTATGGAAAAAGTCAATAGAAGTGATCTTTATATGCTGTTTATTGAGATCCTTTTTTTAGAAATCTTTGGACACAAACTTTCCAATTTTTTTTCACTCTATTCTTTTCTCTCATCACGAAAATCGGACAAACATATTTAGCATGGTAAAGTTTTAGAGAAAATAATTCAATAGAATAAGTTGTCTATGAGGTATTCCATGCCAAATGAATCAACGGCTGACCCTCACCCTTTTGGAACTTAATCTTGATTTTTTTCTACGATTGGGGGACTAGAAAAACTATCTCAATTTTTTTCAGATTTTTTCGACAGCCCATCTGGGAGATATGATTTTTTCTTTGTTTTTTCATTTTTTTTTTTCAATAACTCGGGTTTTATTCAACGGATTTTAATTTATGATGGCTCAAAATTAGCCATTTTCTACCATCTATAAGAAGCTTTTGGGTATTTTATTTTCAAATCCTAGATGCTCGTAATACCGAATTTTCAAAAAAAAGAAAAATTGAAAAACTTGAATTTTTAAAATCATGTCGTCTTTTTTTGTCTCCTCTTTTTTCAGTAACTCTTGTAATAAAAACAAGTATTTTGAGCGGTCATATAAGTTGTGTCTTGGATCTATTTTATTTTGAATTTTTTCTTCTCAAAATTCCGCGAATCTTGTCAAAACACCCCAAAACGATTTCGATTATGTATAAAAAAAATGTAACATAAGTGTACAATTAAATTCACTTCATACTATTTATAATCAAAGTCAATCAACGCCATTTTGGGGTATTTTGATCAAATTCGTGGAATTTTGAGAAGAAAAAATTGAAAATAAAATAGATATACGACAAAACCCAACTTGTATGACGGCTCAAAATACTTCTTATGATTACAAGAATTACTGAAAAAAGACGAAAAAAATAAAACGTGACATAATTTTGAAAATTCAACTTTTTCAACTTTGTTTTTGAAAATTCAGTATTATGAGTACCTACGGGTTGAAAAAAAAAATTCCTCAAAATATTCTTATAGATGGTAGAAAATAAAAAATTTTGACTTGTCATAAATAAAAATCGGATGAATAGAACTGGAGTTATTGAAAAAAAACAAAAAAAACAAAGAAAAAATCATTTCTTCAAAATGTGCTGTTAAAAAAAAATATGAAAAAAATTGAGATAGTTTTCCTAGTCCGCCAACCAATAAAAAAATGGAATTTCCAAGAGGGTAAGGATCAGGTTGACTCATTTCACATGAAATAGCTCATATGAAAAACAAATCCTATTAATTTTTTCCATCAAATAGCTTCTATTGGATGTTTCTAATAGTTTTCAATAGAAATTCGATGAAAATCCAATAGAACTTTCGAGCAAATGAACTAGAGGTTTTCCTATGAAATATATTGTACGTGTGGAGAATTACAAAAGAGTGTTGATTATTTTTATTCAATGGAGATTGTTTTTAGGGCACGCAAAGTTTATATATACGGCCTCCTCTTCTACAGTTGTGGAATGATGATGATGGCGCTTACGAAGCATCCAGCAGGCGTTATAATTTTTTCGTGGACTGCAGGCGTCATGTACTCCACGTTATTCACCATGCCGTATTTATTAATTGCACGGTATCATGCACTCTCCACGGTAATTGTGTTCATTATTTACAGAGTCTAATGCATGTTTGGGACTAATTCATTATGCTATCAATGAATGAATCAATTTATTCAAGATATCTATATATACCCAGATAGCAAAACTTTCCGATCCACTGATATTTACCAGCAAGTTTAATTTTTTTTCTGCCGCAAGATTGTAAATAATTTGTCGTCAGTTTGGCGTCATAAGAACGACACATGCAGGTGATAACCCATCAAGTTATCACCTAAATTTGCTTCAAATTTGCAGCAAAAATTTGGAGTTAATATGCACATATTAACATGAGCAAAAGTGCGGTTAAAAATTGCAGTCAATTTGGAGCAAGATAACATAAATTGTTACCCTTTATAGAAAAAAAAATAAAAAATCCATTAATATCAATTTTACAGAAAATTTTTTATATATAAACGTTTATATATAAACGTACAAAAATTCTCATGGCCACGGCCATGGCGGCGTCATGGCCGTCTCCATGATCTTTTGGCCGCTTGCCATGGCCTTTGCGATGGCGTTGCAATGGCGCTGCTGAGGGACGTTGCCATGAAAAAAAAAAAACTAAAGGAGTTTGACCCTCTTGACCCTCGTAACCTTGTTGTACCTTGTGACCCTTATGGCCCTTATGACCCTAAAGGCCCAGGGGGCCACAGGGGCAGAAAACCAGAGGGGGAAAAGGGAAACTGTGATACTGAATTTCAATCTAATGAAAAAAGAAAAGTGTAGTCGGCCTAATCTAATCAATTGAATTATAAGACGAATAGAAAATTTTTATTCTCGTCAGTACTCCCGATAATGAAAAAAGTTAATAAACAAACATTGATAAAACATTTTTTTACCTGATTTCCGTCAAATAGTTGTTTTTCGCCTGTTCCATTTTGCCGCACTCTCCCCGACATTTGAAAAATTTATAAGAAATTTTCCAATTATAAATTTCGAAAGCTATCGTGTGATCTATACGGAACTCTCGGAGCTACTTGGATATCTTCAATTGATTCCTAAGTTGATTAATTCACTGATTCAATGAACGAGTCAAGTGCTATATGAATTCATCAATTGATCATTTAATTAATTAATCTTTTTAGTTCGCTGTAACAACAAATGGTGAGACCATTCAAAGCGGTGGAGTGCGAGGCCTAGGCACAGACGTGGCAATCGTGTCATCCATGGTATTTCTAGCCCAATTTCTCCTATCTTGCTGTCTGGGAACAATCGTAAGTTTATCAGGAACAACAACAGCCGTTGTATTCGTCGCAAGCACACTCGCAGCTTGCGGCGCACTATCAGCGACCCAAGTGATGTATCTAGACCTCTAAGTCATCGATTCAGTCTTCATTTATTACGGGGTCGATAGTGATGTGCCATTTATCTTGGGAATTTATTCAATCAGTATTAATCATACAGTGGAATGGTTTTCAATAATTGACAGGTCTCACTAAGCACAAAATTAATGAATTTATTGATGAATTAATTATAAATGATCTGTGTTGATGTGTAAATATTGTTCGAATTTATTCATGATGTAAATATTCGAAGAATATAAGAATGAATATTCAATGAAACGATACTTAATTTCAATCAACTTTCTTGTCTTTTCATTACATTTCAGTAGTTAAGTGGTGAAATTTAATTGAGTTTTTGATGAATATCTTCAGCTTTCTTTATTCCTTTATATTTCCGAAACTGATGGGAGAACGAGCAACAAAAAAAAATTCTTATGATTATTCCCCGCAACTGAATTGCCATCCAATATTAGAAATGCAGTATTTGACATTTTGCGGTGGAGTGCGGGTAGGATTATTCCCATAAATTTTCGGTAATTTCCAATTCGTTGCATTGTAACGAGAATTATCGATAAACAAAGGGTAACTCGAATGAAGTCGGTAGTAATCTGCTCAATTTTACGTGGACGAAACTCAAGTGTCAAACAGAATAGATTTGGAGGAGATTCTCTCGATGTTATTGACCAAAATATAAAGAAATGCGTACCAAATAGAACGGTCAAGTGTGAGAACGTCAGAACTTAATTTTGTTAACAACAACTTGCAACTGAATGCTGAACATCACGGCTCTCTACTAAAAAAGATGAGATAGACCATACATTTCCAATGAACAATCACCGCCTTCGACGTCTTCTAGTCTCATCCCTCAAAACACAACTTCATTCACAATAATTCAGTAGCGAAGCGGTAAACCGGGTTAAGTCGATTTTTACTATTGGCTAGTTTTTGACGAATATCTCGGAATCTAAAAGAGATAGAAAGATTTTTGTCATGACCTTTTTTGTAGAGCCAATAGAGCGTTATAAAAAAAGTCATGAGAAAAATTTTGCTATCTCTCTTAGATTCCGAGATATTCAGCAAAAACTGGCTAATAGTCAAAATCGACTTAACTCGGTTTACCGCTTCACTACCGAATTGTACTTGAAGTCTTAAAGCTAGTTCAAGTCTTAAAGTTTAAGGCCTTAAATGTCTTTCTCTACGATAATCTCAGACATTAAATAAATTAACAAATCTCATGAACACGTAAAATGGGGGTAAAAAGGTAATAAAAAACAAAAGAAACAACGAAAATGTGCCTTCAAAAACAAATTTTATTGCAGGAGCTGTCCCACCAGGACAGCCCAAACTCCTCCAATCTCAACCCCACAAAAATTACGATCTAATATTATGAATAGACTTCTCTAAAATGTCTTTTCGAATCCTCGGAAAATCTGAATTCTGTTTGAGTACCTCATTGCACGCTTGAATAGCATCAGCATATTTTTTACTTTTCAAACAGCAATACGCCAATTTGTAGCCAACCGATAATTTAGTTTTCCCACCGAATTTCCAGGCCTGAGCGTATTGCACAGCAGCGTCTTTGTAATTTTGTTCCCGTTCGGAGATGTGTCCTGATAATTCATAAGCCCTGACGCAGGTGGCGTTGTGCTGAAGAACCTTCCGAAGAAGATCATTAGCTAGATCGTATTTATTCGATTGCACGTAGATATCAGCGAGAAGGAGCCAGCACCGTTCGAGGTATTCGGCGTCCTCGAAGGTCCAGACGTTCTTGGCAACTCGTTTCAGGTGATTTCGGGCTCTTGGGGTCTGTTTGAGGAGAATGTGGGCTGTGGCGAGCCCCAGGGCTGGTCCCACATGATCTCTTAATGTCTCTTGGCTGGCCAAGGCTGTGCAATCCTGGAGGGCTTTCTCAATATTCGTCTTGATCTTCGTTGTGAGGAGGAAGAAGTTCTCCAAAAGTCTGTGAGTCAACATCTCGTGGGGACTGCCCTTCGGGTTCAACTCTTGAAGAAGTCTCTGGGCTGTTTTCAGGGCCATCGTACGAGAGTCCTGGTACTCGGCGTCTTCCTCGTTGAAGGCCTCGCTGGATAACGCGGAGTCGTCGTCTGGGTCCAGACAAATCTCTATCATGTTGTAAATTGCTTGCTGTCCCCATTCTGGGTCACGTCTTGCTGCGTTGAAGTTTCTTAGCGCGGAGTTTAGTTTGCCAGTTCGCCAGTCGAGGAGGCCGGCACAGTAGTAGAATCCCGCGTCCCGGTTTGATCCTTCCGTTGCGGACTCTGCTCGAGAGAGCCACTCGTCTAGATCATCGATATTACCTGCGAACAATGAAGATGAGATTGATGAATTGGATTTTTCTTTCCGAATGGAAGCTTTGTAATTGTTCAAATTTAAGTTTTGGATTTTTTGTGTTATATCAACCCGGTATGATCGGAATAATCCAAAAATGCAATTTTTGAGACTGCTGCTACGTTCACCTCGTGCCGAAATAGTATATTTCGTCACTAGGCCGAAAAAAACTTTTCTGGCGAATATTCTGGCGAGGGACAATTAACTATTTCCCTCAATAGGAACTTGCCGTATTTTTTTATTTATTTTTAATCTCAAGTTTCGGCCCCAAATGATTAATTTTCAATTCATAAACATTAGAAATATTGATTATTAATTAATAATTATTTGCCCAAAATTGAAGATTTCAAACGCGTTGAAATCGTTAATGACGTCACAAGGGTGGCGGAACGCTGGACCAATCACAGAATAGCTCGAGCCAAGCTAATCCAATGTTCACGTGCGCCTTATCCAATGGATGACGGTAACTCCTCTCTCCGCATATGTGACCAATGGAGCGCTAGCCAGCATTTCTTATGCCACTTTGTGACGCTATAACCGGTCAGATTTCCGGCATATGTTCTTTTCCCCTCCCCCAAACATTTTCATGTACGATCATCTCCTTCGTTTTATAAAGTCGTGCAATTATTATTAAATCACCTTATCCTTTATCTTCCCGCAAAGACCAAATGAAATATTTCGAGTGAAACCTTCTCTATCATTCTCCTATTGTCCATCTGGGTTTTTGAAAGAGTTGGGTTGAAGGACTCAGATAATTGAAATACTATTGCACTTAATGATTTACTCAAATTTTACTACAATTGCCTTTAACAGGTCCGTTATTATCGGGGCGATGAATTTCCAAGAGAGGGAGTAGTGTTGTGTAGTTGCGTTTTTCCTCTCTATTAACCACCTTCATGTACGATCGTCTCCTCCTTTCTCATTATTTTTTTTTCATCTTCATTCTTAGTCCGCGGACGCACCACTGCTTTTATATCCTTCTTCATCATTTACTGAGCCCCAAATTCGTTCGACAAAGTCATTTATTATTAAATGGGCTCAAAGTTGATTATATTATACTAAAGTAGCAAAACGAATGCGAACCGAGAAGAACCGTAGAGTCTTCACATGTTGTTCAATATTGAATCATCTCGCTAATTACTCTTTCCAAACAGGAATCTAACAAACACGTCTTCAAATTAAACATAGAAAACAAAAATTACCAGTTCTCCTGGAAACCTCAATGAGCCTCGCAAGGGCCGTCCAATAAGTCGGTCGCCTCATCAACAACTGCCTGAAATGAAACGCGGCAGTTTCAAAATCCACCTTCCGAAACGCGAGATCGGCCATCATGACGGAGGCCGCCTCATTATTAGGATCAGCAGTCAACAGCGCCGTGCAGCTCGCCGCACACTTATCCAGTTCATTAATCTGCATATACAACTTCGCCAGTGACAACAAAGCCTTGATATCCGCAGGCTTATGCTGCAGTGCCTCCTTATAATGCACAATCGCCTGGTCCCAATCCCTGACCGCAGTCGCGTGATCAGCCATAGTCAAGCAGATCTCCGCCAGCGTCTGCTTAAGAGCAGTCACCGAAGCGTTTACCGACATTCGCTGAATGCACCTGACCTGATTTTCCTTGGCCTCTTTCAACGTCGACAAAGCCATCTGAATATTCCCCGACCTCTCCCTGACCTTGGCAAGAAGCAACAGCTGCCTTCCCCGCATCTCCAAATGCTCTAGATCAGTAGCTCCCCTCGCCTCCTGCAACTCCTGAACCAAAGCCCCCTCAGCCTTATCGAACTGCTTCATCCTCATGAACAACTCTGCCATATCGAGCTTCAGCTCCCCACACCCCTTATTCCTAACCACTTCTTTATAATAATTAACCGCCCTATTGTACTGATGAGTCTTTGTCAGAGCCTTCCCCATTTTACTCGCAAGTATTCTATCCCCAGGACAATCCTTCAACGAGTGCTCATAAGCCTCAATAGCCCGATCTGGCTCCTGAATCGCCATGTACGCATCCCCCAGCATACTATACGTCTTCGACCCTGGACAATGCTCCACCAGCTCCCTAAAACACTTCGCAAACGCGTGACGATCTTTCCTATGATGCAGGTGAATCTCCGCCAGCTTTGTATGGGCTTCGAGATAGTACGGCTCATTCGGCTTAATCTGGCTCAAATAGTTGATCGATCGGTCAATCTCATCCATCTCCAAAGACAACTCTGCGTTTCCAATAACTACTCTCCCTTCTTCTACAGTATTAGAGAAGAGGGACTTGGCTTCGTTCATCAAGGCAGATGCTTCATCGAACTTGTTCAGCTGACTGTAAGCTGATATCAACTCCAAATACAGAGTTGCTCGGTCTGATAATGAGATCGAGTCGAGTGGTGCTGCCTCTTGTGATTTGACTCTAGCGTCTATCAGGGACATCGCCGTTCGCAAACTAGTGATGGAACTCTCCAAGTCGCCATTTTGTTTCTCAACAATTCCAGAGATCAAGTGGTAAATTGGGTCGTCTCGGACTTTGAAGTTGTAGCTGAGTCCCACTTCGAGGCTTTGAGACGCAGATTGATAGTTCCCTTGGCGGGTTAATATCTGCGCCATTAACAGGTGCGCAGGCGCGTTAGCCGGATCGACGCTATCCAGCATCCGCTTCAGCGTCATTAGCGCCCCCTCGAAGTCCCCAGCTTGCATCTTTGCTTTTGCGAGGAGCAGGAAGGCTTCGGAACAGCCAGAACAAGCTTCGGTAATCATTGCTAATAGGATCAAACTTGGTTTATCTTCCTCAGAGGTTTTTTCGTTCTGGGTATCGCTGACTGTCGTTGTTGGCGAGTTGCACAAGTGTTCCGTCACGATCTCAAGGGAAAATACTGGGTTCAACTCGACCAGGTAGTGATACCCATAAGGTAAGTTCGACGAGTTCTTCAGGATCAGTTCAATTGCCATTTCGAGGTACTTCAAGGCTTTGGTCGGATCGTTTGAATTTAGTTTCGCTGACATGAAGTACAGTTTTGGGTCCAAAGTGTTGGACTGGACCTCCATGAGGAAGTCCAGCTGTTGTCTAGCTAGGTCAGTAGATCCTGGGGTGGTCTCCAGAACTTGACAGTGGGCCAAACCCATGAGAGCCGAGAACGAGGACTCGTCGATCCTCACTGCACTTCTGTACCAGTGCTCAGCTTCCTTCACCCTGTGCATCAATAAGTAAATATTTCCGAGTTCAATCATCGGCTCACTGGAATTCGGGTTCTGTTGAATGAGTTTCTCGGTGATTCTCGAAAGCTCTAGGAGAATATCTTTGTCCCTGTTCGTTGTCCTCGTGAACAACTGGATGTTCTTCACGAATAATTCAACATTCTTGGGTTCAGCTAGGATTAAGTTTCTGAAGAATAGCTGGAGGGTCTTGATTGCAGACGGGTAATCCCCATCTCTGCAGATCATTACGACAGTCTTAGCTTTGATGGCATCTAGATCGTTGGAGTCGATGGAGAGGATCCTGTTGCATGTCTCCAGGACCTGATCCCAGTCCTTCATGGCTAATTGATTTCCCATTTTTTCGATCAGCGGAATGCACAAGTTTGAGTATCGAACGATCAGTGCATTCAGGATTAAGATAGCTTGTTCGTGGGAGCCATTGACCTCGTGGGACTTTGCAGTTGCTAGGAGGACACTCAAGCGTCTACTGTGGTCTTTCTGGATGGTGGATAGGTAATTGTGTTGACCTTTGGAGACGTTCAAGTCGATTAATGAGTTTATCAAGAGCACGTCGAGATCGTGAGGGTGCATTTTATAGGCCTTTTCTGCGTATTCCTTCGCCTTTTCTACTTTCTTCAGTAGAAAAAGAACTGTTGCAGTTCGGGACAGTGATGTAGAGGTCGCTTTTCTCCTATCTTCACGAATCCTAGAGTCGATCTGAGTTATGACTGAACGGTCCTTGTTGCTGTTGAGCCGATAAGCGAAACTCTGGATGATGAGGGAGGGGAGAGTCGTGTCCTCGGGGCCGATGAGCTCGTTGACCTGTTGTAAAGCGTCCTGAGGACGATTCGTCTGGAGGTAGGCGAGGGCGAGGAGAATTTTGAGGTTTTCACTTGAGGGGAAAGAGTCAACAGCTTCCTTCGCTTGTCGTAACATACTGGTGTAGTAGCTCTGCTGGCAGTACCAGGTGATGAGCGTCTGGTAATCTGATTCGTCCATTTTCTCCATTTTTGGTATGATGTGGGAGAATTATTTGTTGGGTGAATTCACGGGGTCCTGTGGGTCTGGGAGATCGTCGATCGTGTCGGGGTGGAGAGATTTTGCGGATGGGGAGAGGAGATTGGAGGGGCCGATGACACGCTCCTCCAACTCTCGGTTCTTTGTCGCGAGGTAGAAGTTCTGCATGTACTTGCAGGTGAGGATTATTCGGTAGTCGTGGACGATTGCGTAAGTTAGAGCTGCCTGCAAAATAAATTATGTTTCTTAGCATGTTTCTGCGCGTTCCTTTCCGTAGGAAATATTCAGTAGAAACTATTTTGTATAAAAACCGGTTATAAGTTGTAATGTAATGACGCTTGGCGAGGTATTGCTGATTCCCACTCACATCCCTTCGTTACAATTGTTACAGTTACTGCTCTTTACTTTCGTCGCCGTCACCCATTGTCTCGGACACAAACAAAATTTCGTACTAATTGCTTTTTCAAGGAGTGTTGGTGCAAACTTTTTTTGCAAATTAGCTGGGAATATCCTCGAAAATAAACAGAGTTTAATTTTGGAGATCGGATAATTTGAAGCTCATAAAGAGCTAATTTTTTACGTTTCGAAAAATTTTTCAGTTTGAGGCAGCTTTATGTGCAAACTGTTAGAGGAATGGAGTAAGAATGGACCAAATTCGATTTTCACTATCGCATTATTCGAAGCTCATCAGGATTCAATTTTCCACAGTTCAAAAATTTTCTGCTGATACCATTTTTGACGAAAAACAAAAGAAAAGTTTTACAATTATTCAGCCTTTCGTCTTGTCATGAAAGAGCGTGGGAATACCTCCACCCCCCACATGTCAATGGAACACGCGTCGCATGAAATTCAACGTGAACTTGATACCCTATTTAATGTAAATTTGGGCTCAAATATAATGTGAACATGAACGCAAATTTGATGCGAACTTCAGCTAGAATTTTTTCGCCGAGTGAATGTTGATTCGGTTTTTGTTTACACTTTAGATGGCAGTGAACCCTCGGAGGCGTCAGAAATGTCGAAATAAAAAATTTTCATTTTCACCTGGATCAAGGGTGGATCTTGGATTTTGTCAATGTTGATTCTGTATTTATTCACCTCTCAGATATCAATGGAACCCTCGGAGGCGTCAGAAATGTCAAAATAAAAAATTTTCATTTTCACCTGGATCAAGGGTCAGATCTTGGATTTTGTCAGAGGGAAAGTCGACTTTCGCCAAAATTATTATTTTTTTTCCAAGTGAATGTTGATTGTATATTGATTCACCCCTCAGATGTCAATGGAACCCTCGGAGGCGACAGAAACGTTGAAATAAAAAATTTTCATTTTCACGTCAAACTCCATGAGAAAGTGAACTGAAATTTAATGAGAACTTAAACTGCAATTCAATGTGAACTTTTTCGCCAAATGAATGTTGATTCGTCATTTATTCGGCTGGAGAATTTTTCGAAACGTAGAATACTCTCTACAACTCTTTATGAGCTTCAAATTATTCGATATCAAAAATTAAAGTTTGTCCATTTTTAAAAAAATTGCCTGCCTCTTTGTAAAGAAGTTACGAGGGTTATAATCAGGATCAAATAAGGGCCAGCGGTGTCATATGGGGCTCTCATATTCTATTTCTTCATTTTCACAACAAAAAGATGAGCGCGCGCACAGATCTAGTATTAACAAATAAACTTCAACTCTATTAAATTTTCCATTGAAGTTTGAAATATAGAGTAGCTTTGGATTTCCTGTTTTACTATTGAAATAACTTTGAAATTATTTATTTTTTCAATGAACAATTGCACGCACTATACAACTGACCTTTTGTCCATTTGCAAAATTTGTAAGATATCTACGTGTCTACTTTTCTACTCACAAACGAAACAATGGGGGTAGGGGAGGATAAATGAGCAAAGAAAAATTTGGTTTACCACCCCCCACAACGAAAATAAAAAAGTTTTTTTTTTCAATTTGAAAATCGCAGTCATGACTAGTGTTTCTGAAATTTAATAATATTGTTGAAACATAAGAAATTGAGGAAGAAATCAAGGTATCCATTTTACCCCGTTTTTGCTTTACTTTGCAACTCCTACGACGCAGTCTTATGACAATGTGTTTGTTTTAATAATCATTAAATGAACTCGAGGCAGTAGATTTGATCAAATTCAACTCATTATTTAAATCTGGTGTCCATATTGCCCCACCCATCCCTATATAGTAATTTCTCAAGTAAGTGCAGAAAAACCGTCGAAATTCTCGGCTCAATGACCAAAAAGCTCTTGGGTCCATATAATAATCTTGATTCAAGCACTATTTTTTCATTGATGTTGTTCATCGAGAAATAATACCTCAGCTAAAATTCTCGCCAATCCGCGTCCTTGATACTCAGTTGGAACGTTAATTGATCGCATATCAAGAGTGTTATTGTCTTTTTTATACAACAGTACTGCGCGATCATTATTGTTTAGTTTCACGTAGAAAATCCGACGATTTGGATTGTGAAATACACCGTAGACACTCCGAATGTGAATAATGTTGAGGGTGAAATGCTTCAAAATACTGGGGACTGCTCCAAACATAAAAAAATTACGATTCTTCAGTCTTCATGACAATAAACAAGATTACACATTTTTATATTCACGTTTTTCATTCGATTTGATCCCACGGGGAACTTGTGACACTTGTCATAGGGGAGTAAATACTTTCAAAAGGTTACGTTTGAGTTGTCATTTGCGGTTGCTAGGCAGCGAAATCTTTTGTATGCGTGGGAAGTGGCTCCCTCGATCAAGATGGTAAAACAGATTGGAAAATTCGGCCCGTAAAACCTCGAAGTTGGACGGCCAAAAACATAAAATATATTCTATTTATATATTATATATAAAATAGAATAGATTGAAAAATTGTAGCGCTTGAATTCTTCATATAAGTATGAATTTCCTGTTCATTTTTTGGGTATGAATAGTATAAGTTTTTTTTTAATTTCTCAATGGAAAATAACAAAAATACCAATGGGGGAAAAATTTAGAAAATTTATGCCTGCTAATTTTAATTTGTAAAAATTAATAGAAAAAGTGAAAAAATTGATTTTTCTATACAGCTTATTCTATTGAGATATTTTCTATAGATTTTTCCTCGGCTCAAACTTTCCAAGTTTTTTGTTTGATTTTTTTATGGAACGAAAAGAAAAATAGAATGAAAAAAACTTAGAATTTTATTTTTCTATACAACTTACTCTATTGAGATATTTTCTACAGAATATCTTCTATTGAACGATTCAATAGAATCGACCAAAAACTGATAAAAGTTCTCTAGAAATGCAATATAATGCTCTATCGAATTCGCTAGGTTTTTCTGTTAAATTTTTTCGTGCGTAAATTTTCTACAAAACTTCATGAGAAATTTTTGATAGGAATTCCTCGTCATCAATTTTCTGCTTTCTTCACTCTGTCTTCTTGTTTTTTCACATTACAAAATCCAACTAAAAACTGGGAAAATTTGAAGTTCTATAGAAAAATAAAATTCTATTGAATTTTTTCTATAAAACATTTTCTACTGAACATTTCTATTAAATAGATGCCTAAAATCTGCGAAATGTTTTAATAGAATCAGCGAGTAACTAATAAAATTTTCAACAGAAGTCCAATAGAATTGTCTTCTCATGCTTGTGCACAAAATCTACTGAATTTTTAATTTCAATCGTGTCGTATCGTCCTGTTTTACCAATTCCCTCTCAATCCAGCAGTTGACTTATCGACAGTTGCACTAAAATTTTTTGTTACCCATTGAGTTCCTAAACATAACCTAAACACCTAAACCCGAATTTCCAAAACAGTCCAAAACAAAGTGTCTGTCTTTCAAAGACGAGATCAACTCCAAACTAATCCAAATCAATCAAAACCTCTTAAACGTCACGAATGAGCATCTAAAATCAACAAACTGTTCTCGATATTATTTGGAATAGTTTTCCAAACTCTCCCAGGACACTTCAAGAGCCCCACAGGTGAATACCAACCAAACGAATCCGAGAAATGTCAGTATCATCCAAAATATTAAACACTACCTCTGTAACCACTTTGATCTCCAGATTCTCACAAATAACCATGAAGATCCCCTCGCCCTCGAGTTTCACGTTGCAAGGAGGGGACTCGTCCTTCGAAAATCGTCAGAAGGCTTTATTCAACGAATTATCGCAAGCAGAGAGAGCCTGCAATGTAGTCCAACCAGTCTCAGACTATCCAGACTTGGCAGTTGGACAATTTCGAAGGCCCCCACCCCCAGGAAAACGTCGAAGGACTGAGACGAGACAATTCAAGGGTCAAGAGAGCATTTTCAAGAGACCAGACCTGCCTTCACCCTTTGCAGACAGAAATATCCCGGATTATCTTCGAAACCCTCACAAATGGGCAAAATACAGTCTTGCTGATGTGTCGAATGAGGACATGTCAGACAGGAGTAATACTCAGGCTGCACTCTCGTTTCTGAATGGGTTGAGAGCGAGGAGGCTCAAGGAACAGGCGACCAAGGACAACGAGGACATGGAGGTGGATGGGGAACAGCATGGGAATGCCTCCGACAGTCCTTCGACGTCGAGGGTCTCCTTCAGGACACCCTGGGCCAAGACGATGCAGAGGGAAACTCTTGCTGTTGAGGATAAGGAGGAGAAACCGGTGTTCAAGGGGAGCAAAATCGTTCTGCCTGAGTATGTCGTCGGGCAGAAGGTGGTCAAGAAGGGGAAGAAGGAGAAGAGTGTGGAGAAGGTCGACAGGAGTAAACAGCTGAAGCTCCAGCATTTGGAGGAGCAGGATGCAGAAGATGAATAAATTTTTCTTGTTATTAAGTTTTAGTGGGAAGAGAGAGGGGTAGGATAAGCTACTCAGTAGTTCTCAAATGAGAATTGTTACTTTGAATTTTCACTAACTGTTGTGATTCTTAACTAATGAATGGCGATTTTTTTTCGATCATTTTTTTTTTTCAATTTCTAAAATATAAACGTCCATCTACTGGGCGGTTTTTTAGGCGCCCATCTACTGGGCAGTTTACCCTATTGAGCGGAATATGGAAGTTACATTGGGGGGAAGGAATTCTTAAGTCAAGAATTCATTAATTTATTCAATGAAAATGCGGAAACTCTGCCGGAAAGAATGAGATTCTTGATTCTGGGATCAAGTATTCCTTAATTCAAAAATTTCGAGATTCTAAATTGAAGACAAAAAGTTTTAGAAAAAGGCTCCAGTTTCTAGGAAAACATCTTGGAAATAAGTGAAATGTTTACTTCTTTTACCGCATTTTTTCCTGAGAATTAGAGGAGCAAGTGTTAATGTTTAATTATTTTTACTTTAGTCTGATGCAAATGTAGTTCAATTCAGGCACAATTAACGTTTTCCCATATTTTAAGGATATGTTGGTTCTGGAATTCACACTTGATTTTGCGATCTTGAAATAACGAATTTGAGGTTTTCAAATTAAGAACATTCTTGTTCTTGAATTGATAATTTTTCGTGTTCTAAAAGTTATCAACTAATTTTTATAAATCCTTTGTTTTTCGAAGTATATCAACTGACTCAACACCTTGACTCAATTAATGTTGAATTAAAGTTCAATTATTTCAGAATTTTATCTCTTTCGAGTGGTCTCAGTTTAAGAAAACACTGATTCTTAATCTGAAAACCCAATGGTTTTTGATTCAAGAACTCTTCTCACTGGAAATAAGTAAGTTTTCGATACTGAATTTTATGAATTGTTTATCTAAAATGGGGTAAGCAGTTTCTTATTCTCAGTACAATGCCTGTTAGAACCATGAGTTTCTTAAAATCAATAGCTTGGTTTTGAAAATTGAAAACGTTTTTCTTGTGTGAAAAATATTTTTATTACAAACTCACTCATTTTGTGGTTTGAGAAAAGATTTTAAGAGAGTTTTTGTTGAGAATTCTCTACGTGATTATCAATTTTAGGGGCAAAGGCTGAGAAAAAATTTGAATTAAATTACGATTTTAATATTTTTGTGTGGTACGATTTCTCACTGCACTACTGAATTCAATTATAGTTCTGCATCGTTCATATGATATTAACTAGAAGACCCAATTTTTTATTCTGAAGAAGAATAATTGATGGTAGGTTTCACGAATGTAAATACCGCCTTTCTTTACATCGGTTTCTATGTAACAGTAATAGTAGGCAATAAGAATAAATCTATAAATTGAATTCATGGCCATGCGTTAATTAATGCGTAACACCTGTTCCGCAGAATAGTCTAGATAAGCGGCTGAGCTTGAATTAATTCGCACGATCAATCTCGTGTCTTTAGAGCATGAAGACGTCTCCGAGAACTCCTCAATGTTCAGAGATCGAAGATATACATAAGAGTAGACAGTTCAAACTTTGTTTTTAGAGCGTGAACTATTTTCTTTTGGGAGAAAATATTCTTCCGACAAGAATTTAAAGCGAGTTTTCGTATGGGAATTTTGGGCATTTGGTTGTCCGAAACAAATATGATTGGCAAAATTATATTTTTTTCTCAGTGCGTGTACCGTGTATAAAGTGACTTTTCAGAAAAACATGGCAACTTTGAGCTTGAATATATAATTAAGGGTGACACGGAGCATGAAAAATCTCACGGGACTTCTTCAAGTATACGATCTAGATCACTCTTGATTTTTTTCAGATTTTTCCTAGATTTTTCAAATTTACCATTATGTCGATTCATGCTGGTGCGGCGCGGTACTTACGGCGCGACCAACAGAGTGTTAAAGGACTAAAACAAGTGAAAAAAAATCTCTAATTTGATCAGAGTACAGGTATTAATGAGGACTCACTCTGTGTTCAATTTCAGTCCAATCGATCCAGTAGTTTTTGAGAAATCGTCCTTCGTTTTTCAAGCGTTTTTCCGATTTAGATTTTTTTTCAAAATATTCGTCTCGATGTCTTTTACCTCGACCAATCAAAATGTGCATACCTGTTCACACAGTTTCCGCGATATTTCGATTTTTCGTTTTTCATTTAAAGTTCTTGTTTGCACGTTAACTACTCGATAAAATCGAGCTATTAACTTGAAATTTTCCGTGAAGCTTGCTTGTAGCACTACAATGTTTCGTACTGAAAATTGACTAAATCGGATACTTAACTTAGCAGATATCAAAATTTGTATCTAAATCTATTTTCTTGAATATCTCAAAGACCCAACCGATTTAATTTTTTTGCCATTCGAAGTAAAATACAAATAGATTGATGATTTAGTTCCTCTTTCATAAATTACTACTGCAATTTTTTTCAATAACCAGAATAAGAAATTTATTCTTCGATTAATCTTCAAAAAAAATTAATTGAAAACCACTCAAACATTCCGTCTACACGAAATATTATAACGATCAATCACATATCTTTTCAATATTATAAGTGAATCACTGAAAAAACGACAATAGGACTGAAACGCGACTTAAATCCCCTCAATAATAGGTGATCCCGAGAAAAAATCCCATTCATCAGACGGGATGTGAAACACCAATCCAGATTCCGCGAATAAAAGTAGACGATTCGGGGAACCGTTAAACGTAAGTCGGCCAGGAGTGGCCTCTTTCTTCTCTTCACTTTTTTTTTCTCATTTCATAAGAAACATGTATCAACCTGGGACCGGATTTCAGTGATGAAAAGGAACGAGCCCCGTTCCTAATCACTCCACCTTCATCTCTGAATCCTGAACAAAATATTTTTCTTCAGTACATATTTATTCAAAGATATCTCCAAAACCTTCAAAGTGTACTGTTCACGTTAATTTTCCCTTTTCGTGCATTTGACGTCATAAATAAAATGGAAAAACGGAATGGTGTGATGAAGTGAACGCACGCTACTTGAATCTTTCACTACCGGTCGAATAAACCAGCCCCAGCAACACCAGGCATTTGCTTCGTTTTCTTCCTTCATCGAAGGTTCACTGACACAGAAGATCATGTGGCAAAACGAGACCTGCGATTAAACCAGGGCAAGCATCATTGATGTGTGAAATCAAAACAGAATTATCTCCCTTATCTATAATAGAAAATTGCTGTTCACGATGGGAAATGCTAATACTTTTCTTTGACCCCCGGAGGCGCATAAACTTGCAAGGGGGACTCCTAAAAGCCGAATACATTAATGATGACAAGAGTCAATATTTTTCTGTGAACGTTTGACACTTATGAGTTTCACTTGAGGGTAATCAAGTACATTAACAATTTTTTTTATTTGAAGCCGTTGCAAAATTTGTCATCAAACATCAGAGCTCGGTAAGGATTCGAAAAATTCTAGCATAAATCAATAATATATTTAAAAAATAAGTTTTCCAGAAGTTTAACCAACTTCCGGTTCTTATTTATCAGAACGGTTTTTTTATGATCAATTTTTGTAAAACATAAGATGAGGAACGTCATTTATCTCTGAATTTTCTCAAAATTTTCTTATGCAATCTACGACAATTGACGGATGAATGATTCAAAACATCGAAATCCATAGTGGGATCAGTACGAAACTGGAACTACACGTATGAAAAAATCCAATAGAAAACCTAGCGAATTCGCTAGAAAATCCTATTAGAATTCTATGAAGTAATCTATTCTATTCTATTTTTCTATTTTATTCTATTGTATTTAAAATACAAGTGTAAATTGGAATTCTATAGAAAATCTATAGGATTTCTATTGAAATTCTATTGAAAAATTCCCTTTGTTTTTTGTGCTGATTCTATTGAATATTAGATAAGAAAAAATCAATAAATTGTGAATTTCTGTTTGAATTTTCCTCTTGAGATTTTTTCCACTCGGATTCTGTAATGTAAAACAAAACAAAATCCAGCGGAAAAACTTTAGCAAATTTGTGCCCAGTAATTCTAATAGAAAAAATCTCAAGAGAAAAATTCGAACAGAAATTCAAAATATATTGACTTTTTTCTATCAAACATGCAATTCCAATAAAATTTTCTAGCGAATTCGCTAGGTTTTCTATTGAACTTTTTCATGCGTGTACTTTCATATGCTTAATAATCAAAATTTTAATTTCGACGTTTGACCTTCATGATCATTACACAAGCGTCAACTATAAGGGGCAAAATCTCAAGATTGAGGTTTGACCGTTATGGGCGGCACATGAAGGTCAAAATTTGAATATTCACGTTTGCCCTACGGGGCATCATAGACCATCTTCAGGGACCTCAATGCAATCATGTTGATGCAGTTAATATCACCTTTCTTCTTGGTTTTCCACAGGAAAAAAATGAAGTTGCCTACATTGTCACTAATTATAGTATTTTATGTCACTAGGCCCGAGAAACCGCGATCTAACCGAGCAAAGCGAGATCGCGGTTTCCGGGCCCAATGACATAAAATACTGTATGTCCCACGGTAATAAAAGTATTATCTGACTCATGTGATGATAATCTGACTAATATGACTTATACTAGATTAGTATATTACGGTACAGACAATCCGTCCAAAGGATTGTCTCGTGATGTCTCGTAAAGTCTCTCGTGGCATCACTGGAGTAGATCAATGATAGAAACAGAAATATCATTAATTCAAAAATGAGAATTTAGAAATAATAGATAGTGAAATAATCGATTTATTCATAGAGCTGCATTTCTTTTTTACATTTTTTGGTTCCTTTCAGAAAATTCAATTAAAAATAACTCCTTCGAAATAACTCAAATATAACACGTGATGGGTGGAACGAAGTTGTTTTGACAGAAGTTTGACACTTTAACCCGCCCCAAAAAACGCGCACGCACCGGGAGCGACCGGCCTATTCATTTTTTTTTCATTACAATATATCAATTACACCTGTCACAATGTCAACCTAGAACCCAAATTAAATACCTAAAAAATCAGTTATGAAGATATAATCGACTTCCTCTTGGAATTACAATCATGTGGGCGAGGCGAGTCGACATTCAGTTAATCATTCTGCATTAATCCCGGTAACAAAAATTATTCTCTAATTCAGAGAAAA